ATGAGTTGCGGCTCGTGACATCATCGCCTGGTGCCTCTACTCCTTTCCGAGCATGTGCATGGCTCCTGTGTGCACTGTTATCTGATGCTTGGCTGCTGGGGCGACTTGGCGCACGTGCCAACAGAGAGGGCTCTGTGTGCCCGCTGCAGCACACGTGCCATAGGTTCACCACCACTGGTATAGGATATAGTGCAGCCAGCCTTGGTCTAAGGAGGTTAGGATATTGTTTTAATTTAAAACAAGCTTTTGCTGTCCTTATGGTGGTCGGAAGGCAGGGGAGAGTTACAGTATGGCCTGGTCCACAGATTAAGCAATAAAAACAAGGCTTTTATTGACTTCCTGACTTCCCTAACCTAGCACTTTCCAAATGTGTTGGACTACAGCTCCCATCATTCTGGGTCTGCATGATATGGGGCTTGTAGCCCATGATCCAGAGGACTCCAGGTGGGGAAGGGTGGCAGTGACCTCAAGTTGCAGAGATCATCGTCCCAACCGCATCTATAGGAAGAGACCTTTTGTGTTTTTTTGAGTTAAAGAGCATAAATGTTTTATTTTAGCTTCTAACATGCTACTCATGATGGCTTCCTGGAGCAGGTTGTAACTTGATTTAAAGAATTAAATCTTTAAAAGCCTGTTATGGAGCTGAAACTGATGGAGCTGGTAGGTGTGTTGTTTCTGTCATTGGTCCAATCTGGGTTTGGTTTCTTTTGAACATGGGCATTGGAAGCATTTCTATCCTGAGAAAACCCAAGCTTTCTAAACTGGCAAAGGGGCAGAAGAATGGTGGTTGGACTGAGGCAGAATAAAAGATGGGGGTATTATAGTCTACTCATTTGGTGCCAGAGGCGAGAATTAGATGCCATGCTTTCCACATAAATAAACCAGACAGGCATTTGAATCTTTCTCTCCTGGTGACCGAACAGCCTTCTGTACTGCACTTCAAGGAAGCCGACTAGCTTAGGGGGCCCCAAGTGGGCATTATGTGGTTCCCCCCACTCCCCACCCCCTTGCTGAGGCTAACTAGCGGAGGCAGATACCTCACTTTGCCTAACGAGAGGGCCAGCCCCGATTGCAGCCACACTTGTGGCTGGGACACAAGGAACAACTCCAGGAAGATCTCATGCTGAAAGAAGTAGCAAGAAAATGTGCCTGTTTAGATCTTTTGTGGCTCTCCAAAAGCAAGTGTTAAAATTAAGGGTTGCTAGCGATATCTTATTAAGGAATTGACTTTCTGCAATAGTAGCCCTGTGTAAAATTACCAATTACAGAGGCTAATACTGGATCCATCAACCCCTTCCTATTTCATGAATTTAAACTAATCAAGTGCACCAAGAAAAGCAAACAAACAGACATTGTTTGTAATTGCCCAAATAAAATAATCCCCGCAACTGGATGGTCAGAACTAGTCCAATGATATTCCATTAGCTGTAGCATTTCCCATGGTTCCATTCCCCCCCTTGCAGATACCAAGATAATGACTCCTCCTCCTGGATAAGCAATAACCTCAGCAGAAGGGGAGAAGCTCTAGAAGGGAGAACGGTCATGGAAAAAAACATGTTGTGTATTCTGAGCCATCACCTCCCAAGGAGATCAGCAAATGACTTTTGCCTTGCAAGTTCAAGGAGAGAATGATCAACAGTACCACAGATTCTGATGGATGAAGGGGAATACGAATAGAGGACTGGTCATGAGACATCATTAATAATCTAAAGAGAACCAGGACAATGTGGAAGTCAAATTGCAGGGCATCCAGGCAGAGAATGTCGTGTCAGGCTTGAATGCACTTCTCTCTTTTGTGGTGGTGATTTCCCTAGGAGATGTGCTTACTGTCTAATTAGTTGCATGGAACACAACACATTAGCTAAGCTTGGTTCCTCCCATTTACTCCGTGCTTTTTCATGTAGCTAAATCACTGGTATAGACAAAAACTGGATTGTGTGTCAGTGAAGCATCGGAAAGAAAAAGCTATATAACAGACCCAGAACCCCGAGGAGCTGATCAGGACCAGAGTGAAAAGGCACCTTCCTTTATGTTTTCTCATCCATCTTTTAGAACAAGGCAGAGAAAGAGGGGCTTTAAAAGTGATGCGACAGACTCAATGTATGTTCAATCAAATCTTGACAAAACAGCTTGATAATGAAGCAAAAGTCCTTTTAGTAATGGTGTGATGTTCCAGACTAATTAGATAATGCCTTATTTGAACCGCGATCAACTTGCATAATATTACTATTACAATATTAGTCGTTATTTACCCACCCATAAGATTAGCTGTTTGCTTAGAACTCAGGCTTGCAGAATTCCAAGCATACTAGAATGGAAGAATGTTGTCTTCTTTATAGCGGTAGGTTAGTGCAAGTGCTTAATGTAGCCCTGAGCAGTTAATGAAATTAGAGGTATTCACACTAGCAGTGAGCAAACACCGAACAGAAATTGCAGTTCTCCTATCAAGTTATATTTATTTATTTAGGATATTTATATACCATCCTTTGCAAAAGCCTCAGGACGGCTTACAAAGATAAAATACAAATATCCCCAAACATAAATAAATTATCAACCCACTCATTATAGGTACCTCAGTTCAATCTCAGATGAAACTTCTCCATTCCTTCTGAGAACTCATTACACACACACACACACACACACACACACACAATTATGCAAGGGAACTGCAATATGGCATCACACTATACATCGTGACTTCATGCTTCCATACCTTACATTAGCCTCTTAAATGGGCTGTTTCTGTGAGTCCTACTGCAAACTCTGTGGCTGATATGGAGCTGCTGGAGCTGGAGATTGTGGAGTAAAGAGCTGCCACAGCAAGCATTGTAAGACAGAGGCACCTCTGGCCGCCCAAGTCCAGCAGCTGCCTTGGGCTGCGCTGCTCCTGTCCTGACCTCCTCCTTGGCTTCCCTTTCCACTCTGCCCTTCCAGTGCCACTTGCCAGCATCAAGGCCTGTATTAGACATTCACGTACCAAAACAGGCACAAACACTCATGTCTGATCCTTGTGCTTGTCCATGCAAACTGCAGAGGCATAGCCTAGAGGTAGATGTAACTTACAATCAATCTCGGCTTAAATAATAAAAATACTAAAGTTTGTTAGCCATCCAATCTCTATATGCCTATAGGTAACATTAGCATAGAGTACCAATGGATCCCCTCATTTTCCTAAGATTCCAACAGAATTGGGTGATTATAAAACGGACCAACACAAGACAATAAATGCAGGTCTCTCTGAAATACCTTTCCTCACACACACATTCCCTGATATATTGGACGCATTGTGTCATTTGAGAGCAGTCTGTATTGCTTGAATATTCTCCAGAGATCTTGACCTTTTCGAAAACCATGCTTTGCCTCATTGACTTTGCACAATCCACTGGTTTTGTTACATAGAAATTCTACATTATATACTGGGTAGAATGACGGTAGTGTTAGGGATGTCAGGAATGTAGTTTTGACATCTGGAAATATCAGCTATGTATCCAAAGCTGACATTTTGTCCTTTCCAGTGAAGAACAAGGTCATATCGCACCCAGGAGGCAAAGGGTCCCCACACTTAACAGCATCCTGCACTGAAGGCTGGGCCAGATGGTTATGACAAAGAAATGTAGAATAGAGCTCATCTTATTGTGATATCCACTCCTCCATTCCATATTTATTTCTATTCACATTAGGTATCATTTACAGATAGGTGTCATACTGGAAGTATCTTCCTCCTTGTAAAAGCACCAGACTAGATGCAATACTGTGCTATCTTGTAGTTGCCAAGTTACCTGAAGGTAATATGATTCAGAGTAGCATTTTGGTCTGGGGGCACATATTCCAGTTATTAATACGTTTGACTCTTTGTGGAAAGGTGACAATATACAGTCTGATGCTCAAAGAAAACACCGACCTCGAAGTGATGCTGTGACAGCTCATGCAGCACTGGACTGGACTGAGGGATAACTACATGGAGTATTCCAGGACTTGTTTCTTTTCTCCCCTACTCTCCGCACTTACCTTTTGCAAACCTCTTCATATTGCTACACAGCCAGGATGACCTTGGCAATATACAACAAAACTGTAAACCTGTTGCAAGTCTGTCACCTATTCTGTAGTTGTGCATTCACAGGAAAATTACATTCGGCATCATTCATTGCATAGGTAAGGATTGTCCTGACTCATGGACTACATAGAATGTTTTTATTACTCTTGTCTCCAGAGTGGGGCATTGCCTAGGAGTCATAAAAATGTTTAGCGATGGTGAGTATAGACATATGCTAAATGTCATACTTTCATCCTTACGTGTGCACAATTTTAGGTTTAACTGCTCTGTTACCAACTTACTGGTATAAACACTTGTTTTGGGATCAGTTCTTCATTTAAAAAGATTGGCAACACAGAAGGGCTGGGAAAGATCAGCTTGATGTCTTGTACAGATGAGCAGGGGTAGATCATTCCAGTATAAAGCACATGTTCTTGCTTTGTGTTTAGGAGATAGCATACTAGATTCTTCAAAGAGAGATGTGTTTTTAAGAACAGCAATGCTATTTTGTAACATGTCTACCTAATGTGATTTACAAAGTGGTGACCAGCTGAAAAACTTCCAGGATGGTGCAAGCGGCTTGCTAACATCATTTTGCTTCCAAGTGTGCTGTGTATACGCCTCCTCTACTTCCATAATGATCAAATACATGTACCTGCTTCTGTTTCTATCCGTTGATCAGAATTGTAATACACTTGGTGGAAGAAAGAAGTTTTGCAGCCCTTGAAAGTTAGAATATAGAAGTAATATCTGAACTTTAAAAACTATTTGTAGATGTAACCATGTTACATAAACCATGTGACCATGCAGCACATCTGGCTATTTGGTTAATACACAGACAAGAAGAAGTTTGAGAACCTGAGTGTGCTGCTATCCGGATGGTGTATCGGAGTGGGCAAGCCTGCTGCATCCTAATAATTTGGTTTCTTTGTCGTATCCATCATAGTCAACTTCACAGATACCAGGATTAAAACAAAAAATAAAGTTTATTTTAAAACTCTCCATAGGAAACACAGTGTTGTCCAAGCAATCAGACTGTATTTCCTTTGCTCATATATTTGGACACTTCTCACTTTCCTACCTTTACAAAGTTTATACAACTCAAACACACAACTCAGAAAATTGGGAAACATGTGAGACTTTAGCGACATGCTTCATAAAAATGTGAGATGTCCAATGCTTGAAACCGTCATTGTTTAAATCAGATCTCTTTTAAAATCCCTATTTTTAAAACAGTGTAACGATTAACACCCGAATCTTCTGAATTCTGCAGCAGCTAGATGGCAACTGAATGCAATTTTTTGTACAGGTCTTTATTCTTTATGAGCCCAAAACTCAACAAAAATGTCTAGTAATAAAATGCTATGATAAGGCCTTTCCAGCCCCTTCTCTTGCTAGTCGATCAGCGGCTTCATTTCCAGTAAACCCAGCATGACCCGGAACATGCATCTGTGGATAACAAAAGTCCAAGTCCATTACTACAAGGATGCAGCAATCTGCATTCTATGATCTTCCACAGAAAATAGCAAATCCTTGCCTGCACTACATTTTATCTGGCTTTCAGATCAAGGGCCAGAAAGGGCACCCTTAAGCTACTTTGATTTTTTCTTTATATCATTTCAGAAGCTACAGCACGGACATGCAAAAAAAAAAAAATAAAAAAAAATCTAAAACTGAGTGTTAGTGATAAATTTGACCAATACTTGCAGTTAGAACCCAATATGGACTTTCAATTCCCAAAAACCGAGGGAAGAAGGAAGATGGCAAGTGTCACACTGACATGCTTTTCCTGTAAACAGTCTTCCCTTATATTAGTATTTCCCAACTGAGTATTGTGGGAATTCATCCCTGCCTCGCAGCATTCATGCTGTAGCTAGGCACGTTACGCTCAGCCAATAGTATTGCAACTTACCAGCCAATAGTATTGCAACTTACTCAGCTAATAGCATTGTACTTCACCTGTGTAACCATATAAGGCTTGTGACCACATATAGCAACAAGTACGCTTCCTGTTACCCGCGCCTGCGCATAAGCAATCAATAAGCCTTTGTGAATCCTGCGCTTGCGCACAATCAACTAGGGTGTTCACTGCTTTACTCGATGGCTATTGGATTACGCAAGTACAAATGTATCAATCTGTGAAATAATAAAAAGGGCTGCTTGTGTTGACGCAGTAAGGAATTTTCTGCGAAGATCTTCTTTGTTCTCCCGAACAACCAACCAAGCATGCTTTAAAACTTTATCTCTCGTCTGCAGTGTTTTAATTCTCTCTCTGAACTCTCTCACACCAATTGTCGAGCTGGATCTCGACAGCTGGTGCCCCGTGTGAGGCAGTTTTGCAACTTTGTGAGGCAATTTTGCAACTTTGTCAGGCAAAGGGTTTGCCTTGATTTCAACCTTCAGCTGCAAGCTGGCGGTTCCCAGTGAAGCAACTTTGTAAGGCAAGCGGTTTGCCTTGATTCAACCCCGGCTGCTAGCTGGCGGTTCCCGCGGTCGTCACCTCCCCACGCCCGGCACGGGCTACAGGCGCCACGCATCTTCGGATCCCGGGTGAGTGTGATTGGTCAAGTTAGAACACAATGGGCTCTTCTTTGTCTACTGAGCAACAGGCTTTTAAACGAGACATTCATTTTTTACTTACTAAAGAGGGACATTCTGTCACTGAAAGTGACGTCGAAGCATTAATTAAAGCAATTCATGATATTTGCCCTTGGATGTCAAAGTCAGGCACGATGAAACTTGAGGATTGGTGTAAAATTGGCAGCTGCTTTCAGGATCATCCCAGAATGACTTCCAGGATTTTATCCACGTGGTGTAAAGTCCAGGCTTGTCTTAAAGGACTAACGCCGACTAATATATTATTCAATCAGCAACTGGAAGCTGGGACCACCTCACTTGCTCACTTGCCAAAAATCTTGCTGCCCGCGCCAGCTCCGATTCCTACAGCCCCTCCTCCTCCTCAAAATGAGAGGCACCACTGAGTATTTCCATTAACCATACCTACTGATAGTTTGTGAGAGATGCGTGCTTTAGTGCATAATATTTAATAGTCAACCTTCTGCACCCTGCTACTTACCCACTGGATGTCCATGCCTTCTGAAAGCTTAGCAAGCCTTTCAAAGTCTTCTTTGTTCACCACATCTTTTCCTGTGCTGGTTCTCCAACCATTAGTCTTCCAATTTGGAACCCAATTTGTTATACCTGTTTTTTAAAAAATGTTATTTTAAGGCAAAATTGAAACTGTTGCCATAAAATGTCTACCGAAATGCTCTCTCTTGGCTTCTGCCACAACTACAAATTGCTATTCAGCCCAAGTTGTTCAAACAGAGAAGACGCTAAATAGGTAGCCTAACTTGTGCACTCCAGATGTATTGAGTTCACCTTCTGTCAGGAGCAGCCAAGATGACAAATGGTCAAGGTCAAGGATATTGGGAAATGTTGTCCAAAATATTTGGAGAATACCCAGATGGATGAGGCTGCTCCATGTGGACACTGTAATCCACTGGCAACTAAGACAAATGATGTCTGTTCTAGTCCTCTACAGCCTACCATGTTAAGTACATTTCAGCTTACAAATGGCCTCACTTGCCACAGTAAACACTGAACTTGGTATCCTGAGGTTTACCACTGATGGACAGGGATCCACACCAACCTGGCAAGTGTTCTTGGATCCTGGCTCAATGTGAAAGTTAAGCCTGGTGCAGATGCCTTACTTGTTTCCAATCTTAGCTTTTCAAAAGTTTAAGACACTTTGGAATGTGAATCAGCTTTTTGGATCCCTGGTCATGGTGTTTACAATTTTAAAATCTGGGCAATTTCAGAGTTTCAGTGTCAGCACATGGATTGGTACTGAAAGTAAATGAACTGAAAGAGAAAAGCCAGAGGAAAAATGCTGGCCAGCAGGTCTTGCGACTGAAGAGAAGGGAGAGGGGGAGGGAGAGACCAAAAGGGCCTGGAGCACACGCTCCCCTGGGCACAAGTTCTGCTGGCAACATAATCCCCAGAAAACAGGGTTTCCTAGCTTTACACAGAAATGTAAGAGACCTGCATGCTTGTTTACAACTAGGACTTGAATCAACAAACATGTTTTAAAATTAAGTACCATACACATATTAAAATTCTTAGAGCTTGTTTTACACAGCTTCTCAAGATCCTTGTCTTCCATAAAGGTGACTTATGTTATCTATGTAAAGAATTGCAACTCTATTTCAAAATGACTCTTGGCACATCCTGTGTTTAACAAAAGCAAAGATGATCTCCAACTTCTGTAATACTGTCCATGGTTTCTGACTGTACTGCATTAATTTGCAAGAGTATACATGTATGTTTTGCCCATTCTCCACATTCAGCAAGTTGCACCATTTGAGGTTATGTCTCTATGCTGTGGAGAACTGGACTAAATGTAACATCACACTGGCAGATGTCTGCCAGTAAAACACGATGTTCTCTTTCTTTCTCCTGCAACCCTCACTGCCAATGAAACATCTGCTCCAGAGGATTTCCCAACCCTGCAGAGACTTTAAGGGTGTGTGGAACCAGGAGGAACTGCCTCATTCCCAATCGTATCAGCAGGAGGACAGCATTGGATCCAAGTCACTGGAGGGGAAAAGGCTAAGGAAAGGGAATTGATCTAATTAAGCTGTAAAGGCACAGGGTGGATATCCTTTGGGGATCAGGAGCCTGCATCATCCCCCCTCCCCAAATCCCACTGGGACTCTCACTCACTGTTGAATGTGCCTTGGCAGCAACCAAAGTTCTGGTGGTCTTGCAGGGAACACGCATGCTCTTTCCAAGCAGAATTGTGCTTCCAGGAGCAGAAATCTGCTTGCAAACAAGGCATGTTTCCCATGTGCTTTGTTTCCCTGCAAAGCTGCCCTGAATTTTGCTGGCAGTGCAAAATGGAACACAATGGGGGCACCAGACAGCCAGCATGTTGCTTCTGCAAAGAATGGCTGATTCCGTGTTCACTCCTTCAATTCAGTTTCCTAATATTTTAGTAGAATCTGCAAGAGCATTTAAAAAAGGGGGGGGGGGGTTGCAAGTTTTTCTGAACTTGACATGGATTACTAGGATTATGTTTAAGATTAAAAAGAAAAACAGCATTGACCATCAAAACACTTCAGGCACAACTGAACCCCAGAAGGAAGCCAGACCCACCAACAGACAGAAGATGCTATAAAGGAAGTTTAATCCAGCAAATCAACAGTTCCTCTTACTCACAGCAACTCCTTCCCTCCTCCCACCCAACAGATCAAATGAGGCTCCTACTCTGTAGGTTTACATAGATTCCTTTTCTAAAAACCACCAAAAGAAAAGTTGTAGACACACCTGGTTACAGAAAAGGATTAAGCTGTGTCGGAAGTACCGTAAGAGATCAGAATAGACATTCACACACTGCTCAATCTATTATTTTTTAGGAAGGCAATTTCACATGTCCTTTACCTTATTACCACTTTCCCACTACTGCTTACCATTAATTGTGAACTTGCTGTCAGTATAGATCACTAGTTTCTTGATATTTTGGCTCTTTGCTTGTTCTATTGCTTTGCAAGCTGCCTGAAGAAAAGATTTAGAGAACACACCTCAGGAGATAGGAATTTAAACAAGCAACATTGATTTTAGTTTTAGATGAAAAATTACTATAAATGAGTTGCAGCACAGGATGTTGTTCATCCACACATGTGCGAGTTACCTTCCAGATGAAGTTAAAAAGTACTCAACTATTTAACCATTGTTTTAAGAGTTGCTATTGCAAATCTCTCCAGCTATCTAATTCTTCTCTGTGACAACTCTTATCAATCATGAATGTTCTTGAAATGCATTTGTGCAACAAATTCTTAAATGATTCTTTGGACTCCTCTGAATTAAAGACATTGTAGTAGCTTTCCCTTGAAATATTTACTTTTCCTTTAAAAAAAAAATCTCCAAGAATGCCAATGGGCCACCGGACTTTTCTAGGTTTACTTTACCACTATTCAAGACCTCAAAGAAGAGGAAAAGCAAGAATATATATATATATTCCCACTGCTATTATGACACCTGAATAGCTGAGTCTCACAGATTCTGTATACAGGTGTTTCTTTTTTCCACTTACATGAATTTCAGCCCTTTGATTGGTCTGCCGTCCTGTAAGTCTCTCACTGCTATTTCTGTGGATTAAGAAATAGACAAATCATTGAAAATGCCACTAAGTAAACATGTGACTAACTCCTGAATTCTATCTAGATGGTAACAAACTCATCTCAAGGTACAGAATTACATCAATGCCCACCTGAGATGGTTCTTTTGCTTTGGACACATTTAAGACAGGAAGTACAAACATGGATACAACCTACCAAAATAGACCTGCAAATACTGCATGGATGCTACCCTTGGGATTGTATAAAGTTTCTCTATGTATTGTTTTAATATGTCCTGCCATGATGCACCAGGTAAGACAGGATCTCCATTTTGAAAGAACAAGAAATTACTGTTATTCCTATATTCCTACTTCGACCGAGGCATTTCCAAATTTACTGAGATACCATGTTAAGTCTCTTTCTGAATTGCTATTGAAAAAAGTGGAAAAATTCAGTACTGAAATAATTTTGATTATTGAAAAAAAGAACATATTAAATTATTCCATTCCAATGAGCAGATCAGTGTTGCACTTGATTTCATATAGGTCAACTAAGGCAAGCATCAAACGGCAGAATTACTCTTCTATATGACCTAGATTCTTAAATCTAGCAGAGGGAAGCATTTCTCTGTGCTTACAGATTCCCTTCTTATTCACACCCAGTGCTGCCTCCCCCATGTCTCAGATTAAGGTCCTTAGGAACTAAACAAGGGCGAGCTGGCAGATCTGGACACTCCCCTACTGAATGAGATCCAGTTTGTGGATCTCTTGTCCAATATGAACACGCTAGACAATATGATACCTGTCACCATCCTCAGACGCTAGATCCTGCAGGAAAGAACAGGGCAAGTTTTGCTCCTCTTGCTAGAAATTATCGTCAGCTCTTTTGCCTGTTCAATATTCCAGCTCAGATGCAGACTACCCACACACACAGCCAAGCTAGAAGTTTACAAGCACAATAATTAGGATTCTGCTGAATCATCTGGGTGAGCTGACAAGTTCAAAGGGCTAACTGTGCTTGCCCTGGAAGGCAAAGTGGCGAAACCTAAAGCAAGCAGCACTATCCAGGATGTGAAGGGCTACTTCTTTAGAGATCAAGAGACAACTAAGCACGGAGAACAACATTTTCTTTTTAAACAAATAATAATGGGGAACTTATTGAAGTCTTATGTTCAGTAGCACTTCATTTTTCTTTAGGACAGGAGTAAACATTTGTTACCACCACTACTGTGGATAGCTGGACTCAACTGCCTCCTTGTCTAGAAAACACTAGAATGCTTCTCCCTGATTTGTTCATTTTTCTGATACTGATGAAGGATGGGGGGCCAAAAACATCAGCATACAACTACTGAACTGTAGGTGGATGGGCCAGCCAGCTGTTTGGCAGAGTTAAGATTACTTTCTATTGGACCATTTGGTAGAGGGAAAGCCACCTGAGCAATTACCTTATCCTGTGTTTTCCCTAAATGCTTGAAAGGCTGTAGGTGTGAATGTTCAAGAGCAACTGAAGTGCTTGCTTTTGTGCAGAAAAGGACAGGGCCTCATAATCAGTTTATTTATTGTTTTACTAGCCATTACTCATATGGCTTATCCATTCTCCTGTCAGGATGAGTGCCTGCACAACCCTGCAAGTGCCTGCAGGCAACACCTGAGGAGCCCTGGAGACCAGAAGAGACTTCCCTGCCCTGCTACTCTTTGAGAAAGCATCATGAGCTGCTCCGGTGACTCCCTCATGCTCTGGTTTCCTGCATTGCCATGCCTGAACCCTGGTTCCTGCCCTGCCTGATTCCAGTCCAGCACCAGCCCATGCCTGCTTCCATCCTTGTCTCCAGTCTGACTCTGATTCCCAGGCACCTGCACCCATCCTCCCTGACCCCACCTTGCTCTTGAATGTGACTGTCTTTCTGAAACTTCACCTTTGGACTGTGCTTGCTTGGATCTATCATCTCCTTGGCTTTGACCCGAGACTGTTACACAGATGCACCTCTTGCTTCTGGCCTGCTGAAGGACTCTGCTTTGCACCGGCGCCCTAGTCCCAGCATTCCAATCATAGTTGCCTGCCACCCACACCCTGGACCTTACATCTCCAAACAGGTAATGTCTGTCAAACACAATCAAGGGAAGAGCAGAGTTGGTAGCCAGGCTCTCCCCAGCTCTGACCCACCAATGGATGAGCAAAATGGGAGGCTGTGCTTCTTTCCATGTATCTCAAAGGTATCCAGATCACATCCATCACTTGATTTCTGAAACACCAATTCCAATTCTTAGCTAACAGCTTTAACCAGGGAAGAGATAATCTGCCAATAATCATCATGTTAGCATCTAAGGATCTCCACAATTATTACTGCACCTCTAACAGTTTGGTTTTTGGGTAAAACATCTGCTTCAGTAACCAATATGCATCCCTCACTAAGGAAGCAGTCCTCCTAGGAACTAAGGACTCCTTCCAGAAGGAAAGTAAAGATTATCTTTCCTATGTCTTTCTCTTCCATGCAGAGGAGGTAGATTGAGACAGAAATTCGGCTAATTCAAGCATGCTTGGGTACTTAAGAATAGAGGACACAACCACTGGATAGATTTCATGAACAGCATCCACCATCAGCCCAGCCTGGAAAGAAGTGAAATCTTGCTCAGACTGAACTGCACTGCGCAACCAGATAAGGCTGGGAACCGGCAACTGCTCACATAAATAGGCATCAGAAAGACTGGCTCTAAAGAAGTGGAGGGTGGCTTCCTTCTTCTGAACAGACCCTGCCTCTTGGTTAGAAAGACAGAAGAGATCCAAGCGCATGGAATACTGAGTAGCAATAAACAGAATGAATTATTTTGACAGCATATTGCTGAACCACCTTACTTACAGAGGATGACTGGGTCCCCAGTATACACCCAATCCAGCACATGCTTTACGATGCCCATTACTGGAACAACATCCATCTGTATAAACAACAGCATAATCTCCTAAATAGGAAAAAAATGCTTTTATAAGTAGGGCATCAACTCACCTGAGAAGGAGCCAAATGCACAACTCAGACACACACATCTGCCCTGAAATCATAGATCAGAAAGCTAAACTTGGCACTGAGTATAGATCTAGCTATTCTTTCTGGATTGTGCAACTTCTGCGATTTTGCAGAAACTCTGCAACGGATCTAGACATCCTTTAATTTATGAGACCAATTTTTCAGATGTAATTAAAAAGGATTCTAGGGAAGATAACGAAAGCTAAATTCAAGTTTGGAGTAATCTTTCTTCCCTCAAAACCCCTTTTTTCCCTTTAAGACATTTTATTTCTCAGGTTAATCAAGTTCAAATCCATCTAAGCATGTTCATTCAGTCTTATTCCTTGCTACTCCCTTTCTCTTCTCTTCCTCGTATGAAGCAGACACATTTTGAGTTTTTGTTTGTAAAGGCAAACTCTGTATCCATGTTATTGGCATCGTAGCAGACGCTCTAGCAACCTGAACACCCAGTGCAAGAATGAACTACAGGACTGGGAGCTTGGCCAAGAACTTCTTGGACATCAGTTAGGAAGTCTGTTTGCAGACTCTCAAATTGGGGGTGGGGGTGCACCCATTTCACAGAATTGTTGCAAGGGTAAAAATGAAGAATGTAGAGACTTTTTATACATTTTAAAGAATCAGAAATTAAACTCAGTTTAGTTTACAACTGTGAGTTGACAACGTTTGTTCAGCACCGTAGTTGATAAAGGCACTTACCTACATATGAGAATTTATCTTTGTTTTCTGATGAAGGTATTTCAGTGTATTTTGTGCGCTTTCTGTCATGTTGGCTTTTTGAAGGCTGGCTGTATGGTCGCTTGTATGAGCTGTAATCTGACCAAGTTGTAGCCTTGTTATCATGGTAATGATTACTACTTTGCCTTTCCATAGCTACACCACTGGTTCCTTGAAGGAATAAAAAACAAGTTACACAAAAATAAAAATGGAAATATGTTAATATTCACAAATCTCATGTTTCTATGAATAATGAGACTAAAGTAAATGGAACTTATTCATGTAAAAATGTAACAAGAGATGAAATAATTTGACTCCTTGACACCAAACATTTTTCATTTAATATTTGTGGGGATTTTTGGCATTTGGTGCTCTGGATGGCCTTTGTATGGTATAATAATAAAAATAAAACCACACACCTGAGAAGGACATGAGAACTATTTAACAAGCATACCGTCAATTCCAGTAAAACAATGGAAGTTCATTAGTATTCCCTCTCTCATGTGCACAGAAAATATATGACAACAAAGAGTAACCAGTATCATGTGCTCTTTCTACTGTTGTCCAAACATAATGTTGTGTATCACCCACCAAAACAACTTGTGGACTACATGGATTCCAAAGCGCAGTGGGGTGCAGCCTGGGACATCATGCACCTGACACAACACTACAAAGCAGGACAATATGAGGAGTACCTTCAGGAACAGGTGCTGAGCCATCACATGACAATGCACCAGCACATCTTGGATCCTCTGCCAATGGGCCTAACAGAAAGGGAATTTACTGGATCAGACAATGGAGAGGTTCTCAGCAGGAAAACATTATTCTGTGACAAGTGGCAGTGGCAGACCCAAACCAAAGCACTCACAAATGTAAATTTAAAACAATTGCAGCCTGAACTTAATTTCCTCCCAAATAAATAATTCAGTGGGCTCTATTCCAAAAGAACTTCCTTTAATACAAACCTATTGTATTTATTATATGCTTTATCCGGCATACCCAAACTAATAAGCAGCCTGCTTTTGTATTTCTGTCAGGCACCACTGCTTCCAAGGGCTTACCTGCTCGTTCTCCTGACTCGCCATGTATAAAGTCCCAAGCAGCTTCCTCTGTTGCAAATTTCTTAAAGCTGGCATTCTGATATCGGTCAACTTGTTCTCTACATTCCTCCCTATAAAAATATCAGTTGGAAAACAAAATGTATGCTATGCATAACCTGTTATCAGGTTGGAATAACTTGGTCTCCCCAGCTTCCATGGGACAAGTGAAAGTAGAGGCACGGTTATGAGTTCTAAGACTGCACTCCCTATAAATGCACGCTGTGAGTATCACTGGACTTACTGGAAGTGCTTCTGAGCAGATGTACATTGTATAAAGTGTTAAGGCCACGTTCATAAAGAAATATTATTCAACCTAAGTCCTAACAAAAGCAGCTGAATTAACGTCTATGGAAAGCTTAATTGCATTTCTTAAGGACATTATATCACTTTCCAGCTAAGGAGTTCATGATGGGTTAAAACAGAACTCCCTTCCCAACTTATGCTTCCAACAACCTGCTAAGGTAGTGTGGGGGAGAAACAGTGACTGGCCTGAAGTCACCAATAAGTCAGGGAAGGTTTGAACAGTGAATGCCTGCTTTTTAAATTCAGTAATTAAGAAATTTAGCAATCTTTCTTCTCAATCAATTCCCAGCCAATAACTTTTAAATACCAAGGTTCAAAGAGTTGACATTACTGGCTGTATTTTATGAATAATACAAGGTGCTTTGGTGAATGGTATTAAAAATGGCATAAATTTAGTACCTTTCTAAGATTCATTTACCCAGATCATTTCAACAGTGTCAGATGACCACTGAGGCCCAAAACCCACTCAGAGAGAAAATTCACCCTGCTCAGTCTAACTCACTTCACAGGTTTTAGGGCAGAAACATGGGTACGGGCAGGCAGAGATCTCTAAGTCTGAACTCCGTGGAAGAGATGGGGCTATATCTTAAAGGGCAATCCTGGGCATGTCTAGCCGGGGAAAAAATCCTACAACTACCAGCATGCCCTCGCCATTGATGGCGGGGGCATGCTGGGAATTGTAGGAATCCCCTCCTCTTGTCTAGACACGCATAGGCAATCATCCTAAACGGGATGAATGGTACATACGCCAACGAAGGCTCAAATCCGAAACTAGGAGTGGGAGTAGGCAGGCTGATTGCCCCTACCTCTCGGGTGAATACTTACCAGCTGCGATATACCCCGGTCTTCCTGCCCTTCCGCACCGCATAAAACATGACGCCTTCCCTGACTGCACCGCTGCTGGGGAAAAACAACGGGTGAATGAGCAAGGTCAGGATCCGGCGCAACATAATTGTTGCTAACTCCTATCCACAGTAGTGGTGGTCCCCCTTCCCCGCTCCCCCCCCACCCCGCTCGCATTCGCTTCCGGTCAGTGAAAATATTGCGCACCGTACATAGAAGAAAATGCGCAAGCGCGCAGACACCACCCCTTTGAGGTTCACGGAACTAGAGGCCAAACCGATGTCAAAATACTTCCGGTTCCCAACCGACATGCTTGGAGGCAACTCATGGGAATAGGATCGACGTCAAACGCACCTGGAGAGAGACAGAGTTTTGTTCCTATTGTACTAGGCCACTTTGCCCATGATATGGCAGTGTTTGCACTATAACCGGGCGTGAGAAAGCGTTTAGATTGGCTTCCTTCTCAACTCTATGGCTCGAGAAAATAAAGACCAAGCTATTTTGCGCAAGCGCATTAACTCAGCTTTCTCTTCGCTCCCACTCGCTCCTGCCGCAGATGCTCATGCGCACACCTGTCGCGTCCGTTTCGAAGGCGGGAAAACAAGCACCCTGAGTTAGCTCCTTCTGCAGTTCTTTCTTAGCAGGCAGGGAAGACGAGAAGCCAAGCAGAATGAATCTTTAAATTGCTATCTGCCGCACTCTCATTATCTGCATTTAGTGGGGCTTGTTAATGAGTAGATGCGTGTAGGAGATCGCAGGGCACAAAAAGCCCCGCACCGTTCCTGCACCATTTATTCCTTGCACAAACATGAACCAGGCCAACTCTGAGAGCAAACCACAAGAAGACTTGTTGCGCATTCCTAGTCATGCCTACTGAAAAGTTATTTTGATTTCAATGAGATTTACTAACATGGTAGTGTGTATAAGATTGCAGTCTTAAATTCTGAGCACGCTCACCATACACAGTTGAATTATAGAAATCATCAGTCGAGAGTAAGCACCATTAAGCATATGTCTAATAAAGCCCATTTGAGAAACACACGACATAACAACTCTACTGCCCTTGAAAGACGCAAACCTCTCTACACATGGCAAGGACTACGTCCCGTTGAATTCAACAGGGTTTAGTAGGCACGTACAGGATTGCACTGTAATATTACAGATGGGTGAAAAACGGGAGAAGGTCATGCAGAAAATATCATTGCATGGGAAAATATTTCACCAAAACTTTTCGATGTAAGACCTGTGTGCTTGATTGGGTAAAATGCAGGTAAGGAAACATAACTATAGCAATCTCAGAGTATTTTTTTTTAAGCAGGGGAGGCAGGAGTTTGATTAAGAGACCTCCAACTCTGCGATTCCAGGCATGTCTACTGAGACACAGGCCCTACTAAATTTAGTGAGAGTAATTTCCAGGTAGAAGGCTATACGAGTGGGAATTAAGGCACATCAAACGTGGGCAAGCTTTGAGAAAAGCCAGAAGAATCGATTTCATGGCTTTCCATTGTAACCCGCTTCCCAGTAGAACAGGGAACATGGCCTTGCTCCATTGCAAAAGCAGAATGAAGCTACAATGAAGCTGTGTTCGGTGGGATTCATAAGCTCGAACTGCGACCAAGTTATGCTTGCCCGTTCTTCATTTCATCTCTGATTCAAGACCTTGCCTATCTCTTTCAGTTCATCCCGCCCATGGCTTATCTTCTTCTTCGCCTTAGATTCGAACAAGCGTGTACTTTTACGGCAAAGCACAAGAACACAATTTTCCTGTGCTTCCTTCCTGGGGCGGAGGATTGGGAAAATCCACAGGTAGAAAGAAGGAAGGGGAAACAACAAGAAACAGCTCTAGTGGCTTTGAAAGGGCAAGTAGCAGCCAGAATGAAATGTTCCAAAGTTCACATAAGAGCAATATTTACTTCAGAGCAAGTCAAAGATCTTAAAATGGAAGTGGAAACAGTGGATGCTCAAGTTGTCCAGAACTCTTCATCAGACTAGATGATAAAGCAAAAAGGGAAGGGAGAAAAAAATCTGGCTGATATTGAAGCTTTAAACTTTTATCCTCCCTTCCCCAGTTTTGATTTGTCATGGCAGTCATTTAACATTGTACTGCATAAATTAATGCATGCATCTTCACCACTTTGCAAAAAAATAATCAAACTTTACCCAATTGTCCCTTAAACTTCTTTTGCAGCTGCTTCTTTCCAGTGAAGGAATGACACTTCAAAGTTTATGCAAACTCACTTGGAGTAATGTGAGAGCAAAAACTGCAGTAGAAGCTTTAATACCTGTCTCTCTGACTTAGTCACTGCAGTATTGCTATATTATGTCTAACTGTGCAATAATTTATTTCTGGCCCAGTATGTGTGTAATTATATACAGCTGAAATTAAGAAAAATAATGACTACAGAAGAATTAGAGAACTTTATAGTTTATGAAGAAACTGAAATTGTGAAAGATCTTTGCATACCTTGGCTTGGTCATCAATTTAAAGTGAGACTGCCACCAAGAAATTCAAAGAGACTGAAATATATGGATATCAGATCAATTCATGGGACACACGTTTTTGTACAGGATTCATTTATGCCATACTCGTAAGTATTTTACTAGCCATCTTATTCCATAGTTCTCCAATGCTTTATTCCACATGATATATCTAGGATACAAATATATAAATAAATAAAACATTCTCATTCCTGCTGTAACAGGAACTTTGAGATGTCCAGTGCAGCTATTTTATCTATTTTGATTTACATTGTTGCTTATTAATCAGGATTTTATTAGCTACCAATCAGAACAGTTTACTGTAATATACCTATTTTAGGAACACAGGAAGCTGCCATATACTAAGACACTTGCTCTGCCTAGCACAGTATGATTGACAGTGACTGGCAGTAGTTCTCCAGGGTTTAAGCCCAATTTTTTCTGCTTTATCTGGAGATGCCAATGATAGAACCTGGGACATTCTGCATGCAACACTACCGCTGAGCCTTACTGCATTAAGCACCTGTATGGATAAGTGTCTGTTTTAATTTGTATGTACTGTTTGTATCTTGCATATATATTTTTATATCGAGTTCTACCTATACATCCTTATTTGGTGCTTTAGAACTACCTTCATGAGGGCTGCTGCGACTGTTTAACAATAACCTCACTAGAAAAAAGAAGAAATTATAACCCTTTGTTGAACTATATTTTAATACAGCAGTATGCATGCATATGACTTCCAGATAACGGGCTCGTACTCTTCTCTGTGAAGGGCAAGCGCAGGTCTTTCTTCCGTATCTTCCTCAGTAGACTTTCACATTCGAAAACTGTCAGGGCGTCCTTGCCAGCAGTTCACTCCCGCCAGAGCCTCTTTAAGAAGGGCGGAAGTGCTCTTTATTTCAGGCTTCCTGGTGTGGCTTCGCGATGTGAAGTGGGAGGAGTTGCGTTCCCTTCTCTTCGCGGGACGGGAACCTGAGGTGTTCTCGCGAGAACTCTTCCTCTTCCTTAGGCCGGCGCTGATAGCGGTAGGTATGTTCGGCCTGAGCCTGGTGCGGGGCGCGGGAAGTTTTTCCATGGGGGCTTCGGTGATACTTTGTCGAGCTGGTGCGAGTCTGCCCATCTGGACCGAGTGCCCGGGGATGCGTTGGATTGGCTGTCCCCTAGTGCCCGATGGCTGCCTGGAGCAGGAAAAGAGCCGGAACCTAGTCCTGGGGCTAGTATGAAAAGGCCTTGGGAGACGGAACGATCGAGGGGGAAGGCCGGCAACCGCTCTTACTCTTTTCTGGCTGCGGGGCTCCCATGGCGTGTGTGGTTGATGCACCGTCTGTGGCAAGTGGCGCTTGTTCGGTTTCCTTAGGGTCCTTTTTCCGTCTGTGAAACCCCTCTTTGAGTTAGCAGCAGCATTAACCATTAGGCAGGACAGCCCATTGGAGCGCAGTTTTTAGGAGACGACAGAGAGCCGCTCCTCTCCCTCTCTTCTTCGACTCTTCCCAGTTGCCGTTCCCCGAGGAGCACATGGTCTGCTTCAGCATGTGTCCTGTGGAGGGAGAAGTGAAGGTAGAGGCAGGCTGCTTTGCTCAAGCCTTGAAGTTTAGTTTGAGTGAATGGCCAGCCTGGCTTACTGCAGTAGTCGAGCCCGCCACTGCTGGGCTTGTGTCTAGGAGTAGGCCTACTTAGAGTATGAATGAGATTTAAGTTAAATCATGGTGCTTAAGATTCTAAATACAGTAGTTCTTTCCAAATACTTGGGGGGTTATTAGGAAGTTTACTGCTTAACTTATGTATGAGGTGTTAGAGTTGATTTAAATACTTGTAAAGTGCGTAGTTCTGGTAATGCATAGCAGTGTAATGCTTTGCCTAAGTGTTAAAAGTGATTGCATTTTTTTCTTGGTGATTGTTCAACAACATTGTAAGGTTGAGCACTGTTTTTATATGTATGCATGTTATAAAAACACAGATTGTGTTCAGAGATGGTGTTCTATGTACTGCCAGATATTAAGCTCCTGACTGAGCTGGCTCATGTAATATTTTCTTAAAAACTTACAGTCACTTGTCTATATAGTACATCTGTTAATGACATACTTGCTATTTATTATGCATATTTAAAGCTAAAGTCAGTAGGACTGTCAGGTAATATAACTGATGCAATCTGTACAGTTTTTCTCTGTCATGGTAGGAGCCAGTTATTATTTTTAACAGTAGACTGAAATGTTTGTTTCCTTTGAAATGCAGAAAGGCCATGTTCAGTTCCAGTGCAAAGATTGTGAAGCCCAATGGCGAAAAGCCAGATGAATTTGAGTCTGGCATCTCTCAGGTATGTGCCCCTTTCAAATGGCAATATTGGCTCTATTGCTTATAATGTAAGGATTGCAATCTTTAGATTACAGTCCAGAATAATAGCACAGTATTTTAACTTTGAAGCTGTGTTGATCCTTTTAGAGCCAAGTTGACACTTGTATAATATTAAAATTGTTATAAGCAGGCTGAGTTGTGGTGCAAAGGCAGTGGTTTGGGGGCTGCAGCCATGAATGTTTTGCTATACTGTTGGAACAACATTTATACTGAAATGGGGATACTATGCTGTCAGTGTATTTGAGATGTGGTGCTAGTGATTGCTCCAGATTAGCTAGGCCAGGGAGGGCAACTTGAAACCCTTCACATACTTTGGCTGACACTTTCCATCATGCCTCAGCATATGGCTGATGGGAATTGTATGCCAAAACATTTGCCCAGATCAGACTAATCTGCCATATATGTAATGGTGACTTTTAAAACTTGCCCCTTAAAGCAGTTGAAGTAATACGTTTTTCCTTAATTTCCTTGACTGTAGGCTCTCTTGGAGCTGGAGATGAATTCTGACTTAAAGACTCAGCTGAGAGAATTGAACATCACAGCAGCAAAGGTAATTAAAACCGTGCTTCCCAATGATGCAGGTTGCAGTCAAGTTCACAAGATGCGTAGTGCATGCGTTCTTGCATGTAATATATACTGCATAGCTTTGTACAGGAGTGTTTCTTTTATAGGGGTTTCCCCCTGCAATTCTGTTGATTGCGCACGCAAGTGGAGAGTGGCATATTTTTCCTGAAACATAATCCAACATGGGCATCCAGCAAGGTGGCTCTTGCCTGGCTCTGCCCAAGTGGCATATGGGAGCGCAGCTCTACTAGGGGCTATGACGTAGAGTCCCATTCCACAATGTTGGACAGAAAGTTTTCCCCCTGTCTGAAAAGGCTGTTGGTGGAGGCGTCCTGTATATTCCTACAACTTCTCAGTATTCATGGTTACTGAGAAGACAAACCATGCAGGACACATGTAAACTAAATTACCTGTTGTGCTCAGAATAGTTACACATTTTAAATTACACTATATGGAAAATGGTGGTGTTGGTATGTTTCCACCTTGTCTGACTTACATTTCCAGGTGCACATACATAAATTAAAACATTAAGATGACAGTTGTACACACCATTATGTAGGATTATGTCACAGAGCATGGGACTTCCTTTGAGTAGACATGCATAAGATTGTGCTGCGGATATTTATCATAGTACACAGTTAATATTTTAATTACGTAGCATAATGCAATTAGAAATAGCCTCCTTCCAGAAACTAGGTAATGTTTATTTCTGCTAACCTTTGCTTGAGTCCAGCTGGATTTGATCAAAGTAAGCAAGTAGAACTAACTGAGGAACCAAGTCTGATCCTCCTGACTTGTTGGAAAAAACTCTTAAAATAATAAGAACTTTGAGCTACAAAATGCTGGCAATTTCCTCTCTTCCTTTGTCTTTGTTCCTGCCTTTGGAGGGCCACCAAAGGCACTCAGTTTCTGCACCCAGAGATAGTATCTAAATGCTTTAATTCAGTAGTTTACTGTTATTTAGTGGTTTAGCCTAGATGCAGACAAACCATATGAGAGCACATGCTTTGTGTGCAGAAAATTCAAGATTTCACCTCCAGCTAAGTGATCAGGTAGCAAGCACTAGGAAAAACTTGCCCAGTTGGGATGAGCCAGTTTCACATGTGGAAGTTCTCTCACTGCAAATTTTAGACTGCAATTTGAAACCATGTTCATCCCCAGCTCTGTTTTTGCTTAGGAAATTGAAGTGGGTGGCGGTAGAAAAGCCATCATTATATTTGTACCAGTCCCTCAGCTGAAATCTTTCCAGAAGATTCAGGTGCGGTTAGTTCGTGAGTTGGAGAAGAAATTCAGTGGAAAACATGTGGTGTTCATTGCTCAGGTAGGTAACAGCTTAATATGCATTTCTACAAAGCTGGTCTGAGGAAGCGGGATTCTGTGTTCGTAGAGGCAAAGCAATGTTTTGCCCATGAAAAGCTGCATAAGTACTGCATACACAAGTCTTGCTGAATAAGGTCCTACTTGCAGATACATATGTATTGCACAGCACCACCTGGAATTGATTTGAGGACCACAAGAAGTAAATCCAGTCTTTTGTAAAGTGCCACCTTTTCTAAATATGCTGATAATGTGTAATTCATGCTTCTTTTAACAGAGAAGAATTTTGCCAAAGCCAACAAGAAAAAGCCGCACAAAAAACAAGCAAAAACGTCCCAGGAGGTAATCGAAATTTATATGCAGTGTTTGTTAGAATGAGACAGAAGTGTTCATGTGTGTGTATGTTACAATCCTATGCAAAGCTATCCATTCTACTGGCATGGAGAAGTTCAAGAAAAGATTTTTGTTAATTGTACTAATTTTGAGTGGTTTTTACTTTATTGCCACTTGCCAAGTAGAAATCATGGACCAGACCCCATAACTCAGTGAAGGAGCACATATTTTATGTGCAGGGAGTCCAGTGTCTACAATACTAAGACTGAACCAGCCTTGGTATAAGGTGCCTCCTGTGTTTCTAAAACTGTTCAGAGATGACTTGGTTTAATGAGGCCTTTGAAGTCTAAGTCTGTGTATATGAAAAAAAAACTGGTACATTTGTTCTAAAGAACTCAAGTTTTTTGAACCATCCGTTACTGCCACCCAAAAAGCACTAGAGGCAATACCATGCTTTCAGGTTTTATTTCATTTAATTACTTCTGGCTTCTCACAGTAATGAAGATTTACCAGAGCTCTGCTATAGATAACTAAACCCAACTTAAGCAGAGGCAAAATCTATGCTGTGGATCTTTGCTACCCACTTGTTGGAGGGGATGGCATTATGGCCATGCTCTCAAGCAAGTGCTATCCAAATATTTTGGAGTAGAACTATCAGCCTTTATTGACCAGGCTGCCTATGGTTGACAGAAGTTGTAACATCTGGAGGGTGCCAGGTTGCTTGCTTTTTTTACTCTTAAGACGCACACCATCTTGGCCTAGTTTGGAAAGCACTGCAAAGTCACAATCTCTATCCTCTTTGGCAAAGCAATAAAAGTGATTGACTTATTGGAGGAGAGGTGAAGTGTTCCTATGAAATTTCTATTTGTGACAGTATGAAATTACGTTTGTCTTATTTGTCCTAAGGGCAAGGCAGAACTCTGGGCAATCTTAGCTTATCACTAATGGACTGCAGGTGTGTTCCTGTGTGACTTGGAGAGCATCCAGATTTACTGGAATTGGAAGTGCAGCAAATCAATGGAACTGGGACTCTTGGTTTATTACTCCTGACTTGTTTGGGAGTAGCAAATGAGAAGCATGATTCAGATGACATGCTAGGCTTTGGACTTCTGGTATGCTAAGCCATTCCTAACAGTGGCAATAAGCAATTCAGGAGCAAAAAGGTTCCATCCACCAAAACACTGCTTATTCATAGTAAGCCAGAATTCTATAGATTTCTGGTTTATCTATGAATGCAGACATTGGGAATAAAATCCCAAGTTTAACTTACCTGGGATTATATTTAGCTTTGTAGTGGATAAGAGGACAGTGTTTTTCTTGTCCTTCAGGCAAGGTTTGTTTATTGTGCTATATCTGTTAAGGAGCAAGATTACTTGTAGTTTCTTCCAGTTATAGCTTACTGGCACATTGTGTCTGGCTTTCTTAGTTTTGAGCACTGTAAAATAATAACTAGGTGTTTTATTAATGTATAGCTCTTCTAATGTACAGATCACCTGTGTATATGGGTTTCTGATGGGTTCGTTGCTTTCCCAAATAGAAAAATTTAAATTGTTTTTAAGTGAGAAGAGGAGCAATAGGTAGTACAATATCAATACTGAAAGAGAGGCTTTAACCTAAAGTCAGTTCTGTGAACTAGTCTTTCATTGTTTGTTAGTCTAATATTTTCTTCAATAGAAGTTAGAAAAGGCGGCATTAATAAAAATAAAAAATCCCAATTTCACACTGTTCCTATCTAGCCGTACACTTACTGCAGTGCATGATGCCATTCTTGAAGATCTGGTTTTTCCCAGTGAAATTGTGGGCAAGAGAATTCGCGTAAAACTGGATGGCAGCCGGCTCATAAAGGTCCACTTAGACAAAGCGCAACAGAACAATGTTGAACACAAGGTAAGGATCCTGGTGATGGTGGTTTGCTCAGACAAACTTTGAAGATCAGTACTGTGAAGGCCTCAAAACATCCCTTAGGCAGGCACATTTGACAGGTCATATCTAGATAAACAGTTAGCACTCGCTAGTGCCTTCTGGCTGTTGTGGTTGACCAGTGTTGACGCTGTTGAGGATCAGACCTTTGGGACTCTGGAAGAAATCCATTTTCCTTGCAACAACTATAAAATTGAATCAAGAAGGGGGAGATTTATCTGAAGGTACCATTGCTGTTTCCTGTTGATCTTATATTCCAGAGATGGGGAACCTTCTTTGCCCTGAAGCAAATCTACTTCAGGCAAGTAGGGCTGGGAGTTGTGTGCTAGCACTGCATTCCATTACACTCACAGTGGGCAAGACCATACCATTGTTGGCATGTGGTCACCCCGGTACCGCATTCACACATTTTCATACTTGTTCTCTCTAAAGTCACACATTCCCCACTACCGAACACCCTTCTTTCACAATATCCATTTGCAATTGGGCTGTGAGAAGTCCCCATTGGAAGTTTTTTAAAAATATGATTGCAGCAGGAGAGAGTTAGCTTTTGCCACACCAGGTGCTCTGCAAAGGGGTGGCGTGGATCAGGGAAAATTGCTTTCTCTGAAGATGGTAGCAGGGATTGGGGAGAAGCTTGCAGGCCCTGTTTGGTCCTCTCACTGGCTGTATTTAGCCCATAGCCTAGAGATTCCTTGTTCTACCTACTGTAGATTTGGAGAGACAGCTATTGGTATGAGGATTCGTGCAAGTAGTGGACATAGCTAGGATGCTATCATTTAAGCAGTTTTTACCTACAAAAACTAAAAGTTAGATTTCTAGAAATGCCCTAAAATGTTTTGTCCCACAGTGCTTGGGAAGGCTACATTCTGTGACTACTTATTTCTTCACTTTATTACTGTAGTCATGATTACATAACTTGTTAGCCTAGTCTTGATGCTAGACTCATCTTGATCAGTAGTGTCCATCTGATTTCAGAATAGGAGGACTGCACTGACTGCTTTGTTTCTGATTCTGAAAGTACATCTTGAATTTAAGGTTGCCTGGTTCTGACTCTGCATCTGTACCTGCTGGTCTAACTGTTTCATAAGCAGCCATTCAGGAAAAGTGGCTCAAATTTTGGGGCTGAAGTGGTCTTTCATTGCCTTCTAAAGTAGCAAGGATGAGTCCCATTTGTGATTAATTGAGTAAATCATCAGCTTGGAGCCTTTTAGATGCTTAATTGCTTAATCTATGAAACAACCTCCATTTAGTGACAGGCATGCTCCAAAAGTAGGAAGATTAATTTATCCTCCTTTGCTTTTCAGCTACCTAATTGTCAGTACATGAATGTTGTTACTGTTGGTGGATGCATTCCAAAAACATGACAAAGCTGTTTCCAGTCACTAATAGAAGCATTAGAATTCAAATGGCAAACTTTGACACTAGTTGGTCATAACTTTGGTCCAAGTGTAAACTACTGTGCCTCCATAAAAGTGTGGTGACACACGGTATCATTTTGTGGCATTAATCTGAGTGTTCATTTTCAGTTCAGAAAGCTTATTTGCCAAACTCCTTTATATTCCTATTCTTTCAGAGTTAGCAAACAATTCTAAGAAACAAACAATGTAGGGCATAGTCCTAAATGTTAGTGTAGAAAACAAGAAGAACTTGATGTCTTGTAGAAAATTATAGTTCCATATAGCAGTTGCTAACTTCTGTTACTTTTCTTTGCAGGTAGAAACATTTTCTGGTGTCTACAAGAAACTCACAGGCAAAGACGTTGTTTTTGAGTTTCCAGAGTTTCAGCTGTAAAGTGCAAAAAATGACTGAATAAACAGTTAATTGT